TTAATGTACTCGTATATGAATACTTATATTCTTTATACTTATAATATGGTAAAATTTTTGTTTGAGAGATTGTGCCAAACTATTTCGAACTTAACCTTTTCTATTTATTCTTTATTCAATAACCTATGTCAGAATTGCTGTACCATAGCACTTTAAAGAGCTATACCAAACCGTCTGGCCAGCGTGATATAGAAGGCCAAAACCTCCCTTCTAAGGGGAGGCCTATGTCCAGCAGTGGCTGTAGATGTGATGTGAATTATCGGGATTAAAATGAAATTATGGTCAGTAGTTTTCCTATAATATGATTTACGGTATCGTCATACAGTCCTTTATTTTTCTCAAAAAATTGAGACAAATAAATTAAAGTTTTGTATACAGGTGTTATTACACATTTGTTAACATGACTGTAAATGACTAATATTATTTTTTCATTGACTATTACTACTAAAATGTAATATGATAAGTATATGTCTATGACTAACCGACTACCATTTCTTTTAAGATGCCTCGAACGTTCACGTTAAGTTTATTTATGAATTTTCATCAATCTAATAAAATCTGTGGAGGAAATTATTAAACAATACCAACAAAACCCTAATCTTTATGGGATAAAAATAAATTTCCTTTTGACTCAATCAATCTTATCAATAACCGTAGCTCGCCCAAAGCTACGATACCATCGATAAAATATTACTGCAGTGATGTCACTGGTGTTTTTGTCGACTTAGTGACGTAACTCTGCGGCTTTGTTTATCGCTGTGCGATGGGTGTGCTCACAATACGCGGGAACGGATCCAACTAGTACCGCTATAATGGCAATGCATGCCAGCGGCATTCTTGTTTCTTAAAACTTTCAAAGTATCCTTTACAGCTGTGATACCTTCTTTTCCTGCCATTTAGTGTTGTCTAAAAGACTTATTCATGCACATCACATCACAAAACTGTTGTAAAACAGGGATAAATGAATTTGGGTTTGATAGTGTAAATTCCTATTGTATTATTTGTATTGCGCTTGAGAATGGAACTCTTTATTCGACGCAAAATATGTTGTCACGGAACATACATATGCGGGCTCGTAAACGCACTCATGCTCGCCAAAACACACGCACACACTCATGTACACACATACTTTTTGTTTATAAAAATTAGTTAATAATTACTTAAAAAACTAATAACTCCTTAAATGTACTTTAATGACTATACTTATATGTATACTGTAAATTAATTAAATAAAATATGGTAATATAAATTCTGTCAACATTCTAAATTATTCATTTTTAGTTGGACGCGTTAGTGGTCTCTACTTAAATAGCAGGTCTATTTAATAGAGTTTGTGAAAAACAACGCAACAGAAAATACTCCATACTTTGCGTTTCATATATTTATGTTAAACTGAAAGAAAATTATTGTCTAAGTTCTCCAATTTAAACTTGTAATTTAAATGAGGCAAAGTCGGCCTCAATACGAAATTTGAAACTCACGACCTTCCCAATATCGTTTGGACTCCCTTGTAACTGAAAAGTTTATAATTATATTAATTTTAGGGTATTAAATGTTTTTTGTTCCTTCAATTTTCCTAATTCGTGAGTGGTCTTGTTTTCTAATCCATGCAATTAATTACTTTGAACAAGCAATTCTTGTATCGATATACAAAGAAATAAATATTTCCTTATTTTTGGAAAGGGACCTACCAAATAAAATAAAATTTTGTTTTAAGATAATGTTATGTTTTTAACATCAGGCGTAAACTAAGGTAGGTTCTGCGACTTGCAAAATACCTTATACTCTTAGTTTGATTGAAATGAAATACAGAAAAAATGTTCTTCATTTCCATTGGAATTCCTTACGATCTTTTAACCAAAATACTTCTTCCATGTAATTCATAATAATCTTTTATGTATGCATCCTTTTCAAATACAAATTCAATTCATATAATATATTACGCACGATTCGATAATGAATTACGCACTTAAAATCTTATCATTCATACCCAATCGAATGACAGGTGAAATCTTTAAAAATATCTACCCTCCGTAAATGGATCACCATTTCTTAAAGCCCTTTCCTTATGATTTCATGTCTTTTACTCAGTAAAAACATTGCCCACTTCTACCTTTATCTTACCACATCTTAAGTGGAAGGTTTTTTTGTGAAGGGAATTGGAGTAATATTACAGCTGTTTAAGTGAGATATTACCTTCATATATTATGTTTGATCATAACCTGCGAGAACAAGCCTTCTTTACCAAATAGCTTCTGTTTGAATAAAAATATTAGTAAATCTTTTATTATTTGATATCGATACAAAGTAAACATTTACTTTGATTAATTCAATACATTAATCTTAAAATATACATTTGCCTTCTGATTAACATAATTCGACCACATTTCATAAGCGTTGAAATAAATATGGCTACAACTAGATAACGACTGGACCAATAACCTCCCCCAAACAATTGATATTTGAGCTAATAATAGATATATATCCCTTGAAATAGGTATACATACATCATCATCAACAGCCCCTAACTGTCTACTGCTGGACAGTAGGCGTATGCCTCTCCTTAGAAACTAGGTTTTGACCTACTATACAACGCTGGCCAGACGGGTTAGCATAGGGTTTGTTTCAGGTTTTGCTTCTATTTGCAGTGCTGTAGTGTGCAGAGTTTGTTCCCTTAGTCGGATCTTACGACACCCACGGGATCAAAGCGGTGACACTCTGTAGTCTTAATCCGTCACCACACGGACAATATACAAACAAATAAATAGAAAACGAGCGGTGCAATGTTATTGATATCAGAGACCTCCCTGTGTTCGAATTTCAAATGTCTTGTATTATTAACATTTTCTGAAATGAAAGGTAAAAACACATGATGAACCTATATAGTTTTATGTGGCCGTTTTACATAATTGTTACATTAATAGCACATATGGCTTCACAAATTCAGTTTTCTGCACTGGTTCCACATATTTTGTGCCAAAAGACAAGTCAAGTGTATATATATGATGTAATATACATTCACAAAATAAATCATGCAAGACGACTTCGTATAATAATTTAATTTAAAACTAAATATATATGTCTTTTGTTGCATCACTCATTTGTATTCATTCACCATACCCGTTAAAGCATTCACTAGACAAATGGTGACTCACTTTCTTCATAACGTTCTAATTATGTAATTCTATATGCGTTGTATGATGCAACCGGTTTCATGTGTTATGCATGTTGGGCCTACAGTGAGACAATTCTAAATACTAAGTCTTCCTTCTTCCGTCTAAAGCTGTCTATTTAATGCTTCAGCCGCTCAAAGTCAGACAAACGGCCTTTGAATGAGAGACATGACGTCAACCTAAACCCAATATAACAGAAGCTATTAGTCCAATTTCAAAATTATACAACCACAGCGTTCAATTTGATAATTCATCTTAGCTTGTAACTATAATAAGCCAATTAAGACACTTTCTAGAAGTGTACATCTATTAAATTATTTTTAAAATCCAGTTAAAAAAAAATAACATGAATGATTTCTGGATAAATCAGATATCAGGTTTTCATAGGAATCAAATTTACAATAATCGATTATTGCGATTTCGGAAATTATTAATAACTGAACTTGTAATTTATTAAGTGCCGAAATAAACCAGTCGTTTGGCCAGGATGGGGATGCCAACTTAACTGTAAAATACAGAATTTCGTAACGTCTATATACGATCTTTTTAATAGAGAGTAGGCAATACTACAATACATATATCTATAATTAGAGTGAACAAATGAAGTGATATTATTTGGTTAAAATTTTTTTTTTTAAAGTTGAAATCAGCATAGAGTATCCCTTTAAAAGTACAAAATAAACTTGCTATCTATATTATATTTTCTAACTATTTATTTTAAACTTATGATCTCAAATACCATTGCGTCTTCGCCCTATCCTGATACGACTTCCCATCTTTGGAATCGTTCCAGTTTCCAAAACAAAAGAAACTGGAGAGTTATTTCATGCATTGCCTTTTAGCTTCTAGTTTTTTGCACTTCATCCAAAACTCTTTTAGCCAAGCAAAATTTCCATTTCTTACTTATCATTATTGGCCCGTTAATTTCGGTGAGTTGCAAACATTACGCTCATAAAAGCATAAAAGTTTGCACCAAAACTCAGTTTGGACATGATCAGTATATTATATGACGGGTTCATTAGCTTGTGATTTATTAACATTCAAACGGCGTTGTGGGAAAAATCACACTCGCAAAATACATTGACCTCTGTAACCAGTAGCATTTTGCACTCGTCTTAAGTTTTTTTTAAATTAAAAGATGCATTCCATTAATTTATTTTTCCTTTTAATCTCGACAGCGGAAATGAAATTGCAACAATTGTGTTTTTCATAAATATATTCGGGAACTTGTCAATAAAAAAATAAGTCAAGGAATCAATTGTTTTAATGGCGACACAGTGCACCATAGATAACGTAGGTAGCAGAATCTATAAATTGCGCAGATACTACAAATACTACAGCATCAAAATAAACAAGCATCGTTTATAGCATTTATGTGAGATCCAGTTACGAATTGCAAAACGTCTATTTATTGTTAGTTTCTTCACCTCCAAAGCACTAAGTAAATACGTTAAGTTATTACTAAGTTAGTAGTTAGTTTTCTCAGGTTATCTTGTAGTCCCATTGTGGAGAATTTCTTTGTTCTTGGCGTAGCTAATCTCTATAGGATACTAGCTAAACCATGCAACGCTAAGCAGTCTACGCCTCTCATAAGGAATACATTTTCCCCGTTTATGTAACATATTTCAATGATGCTCTGTTCCAAATGTTTGCTGTATTTGTTTATGAAAGGGCTGTTAAGCACTAAAATAATATTTTTCAATTTTAACTAGTGGTTCCTTATAAAAGCACGTTTAACCAAAGATACAAACAGACTCTTCAGCATAGTTGAGTACAGATGGACGGCGTTAGTGGAACTGACAGTTGTTTAGAATATGCATTCAAACGATGATATTCAATGAAGATATAGTATCCAGTATGAAATGCCTCTTTTACAATTAAACCCAAATAATTTGTACACTAATATCAGTATTGTACTTCATTACCATTACTTTTACTATTTGTATACTGCTGTAAACAATAATAATTAAGAAACTCCCTTAATGTGTGCTATTCCTAAGATCAACAACTAATAAAACTATCATGTTCAACGTACTTAATATATACAATCATACGGTGACATCTGCGTTTATTTAGACTAAATAATATTAACATCAAACATAATTATATTTCTTGAACTTCGCGCATTCAATTTGTGCATACATAAAATTTTCTTCTCACATTCATATATAAATTACTGAGCTATTCGTTTCGTGGCATCGTATCGTATTGATATACACTATATCTGATGTTAATTTACATAATAATTTCAACTACGGTTTCGTTCTACCGTCCTGGGATTTTACTTGTTTCACAACCAGCGGGATCATGCATTCTGTGTTATAATTATTATGTTAAATTTAATGCAGTCTACATGTTTACTATGAAAATATATTGTGTTGTATATTTACAGACAGGTTTGTTTGATAAAGATCTACATATTTACATAGATTTTAATAGAGAATTCGTCTGCCATGTCCGGGATCGGTGGTCTCCGGTTTTTAATATTCTGATTCTGAACAATATCTATTTTCATGAATGCTATGTGTCGTGTCTTAGAAACAATAGTGCAAGACGTTGAACGTGGAATATAGCGCTGTACCGACCCATAATATCATATTATTATTAAGTTTAGGGATCACCGGATCTAATGTACATATAAAGAGTATCTAACACTCCTCATGCAAACTATAATTATGGTTTCCTTTGATAGTATTTGAAATTAAAATATAAAATTCCGACTGAAATTAATGCGAAAAATAAAATATCTTCTTACCCATTTTATCCTTTTATTTACAGGAACACCATCTCCAGAGGGCAATATCAGGCACTGGTCTGATTATACCAACACCTGAGGTATGCCAGGTCAGCGACCTGGAGTTCTACGAGAGATGTTATCCGCCCGACTACAAAATGCCCAAGCAGCACATACATATGCAGCGTAAGTCATAGCAATCATATTTAATAGCATAATACACTGAAATTTTTGCCAGGTGATTTCATCAGACCTTTTATGATGTCTTTATATTTTATACAATTTGGCCTGAATTTTAGGTGATAAGAATTTTTATGCGATACTTATTTTGAGTTTTGTCACAACGTAGGTAGGGGATAGTCCATTAATCACGTGAGGCTCGAAAGCGGGAGGGAGGGAGGGGGGTGGTTATCACGATATAATGAGATATAACGTAAATTTATTTTTCGGTTAAACGCACAATTTCATTTTTCATTCATTTCATTTCAATTCATTTCATTTCAAATTACAAATATATTTTTTTTTACACCTTCCTTTTTTATGCCAGTCAAAAAAAACCTGCAACCTTAATGTCTGTTTAGACATTTTTATCGCGATGCCGTATTTGCCAAAATTTAATCATATTATATCTACCTGTATTTAAAGTTAAAATTCTGAAAATTTCAAAATGCTTTGTACCAAAAAATACACGAGATTTTAGGTGAGGGGTGTTGTCTAAAACCACACCACATATCACCCGGGGGAGGGCTAAAAATGTGCTAAAAAAACATTACGTGTGTAATAGGTACTACTACCCCTAGGTAGTATGATTATCAAAAATGTAAGGTATTTTGTCTTTTATATACAGCATTAAACTCACTATAAATCAGATTTAAAATATCAACGTTTAGCTGTAGAAGACTAATAATAGCGTATTTAAAGTACGAATGTGTTCAATTAGGATTCATTCATGAGCTATAACTCAAACCCTGATGCGAAAGTCGTCGTAATAAAATACTCACAATACTTCTTGAAACTTAGTACTGAAATTGGTATAAGCCATTCGCAAAGTTGATTATTTTTAGAAAGTAAGCCGTAACTAGCTAATTTCTATTGTTCAAAGTAGAAAACATTCAGTAATTATACTTTCCCGCGTTTGCAAAGAAACTTTATCGTCCATCACTCACTCACCTATGTATAACAGGTAAATGAGTGATGGACGATAAAGTTAGAAAAGAAAATCCTCCAAATCCTTAGAAAAGACGACTGCTCAGAAACAATCTATTAATTTGGCAGTAACAGATTTCACTGTATTTTCTGTGCCGTAAATTTACATTAACGCTAACAAAAGGGCCAATGGATTACGGCCGACATATTTCAGTTGTCGTTAGTGGAGAAGCGCTCGTTTTTAGGTCGTTCATTATCCCGGCCGATGCCGTGGAGCCGACACAATAGATGAGAAATTGTTTCATATACATGTAATGTATAACAATATGTGATTGATTATTGCAATACCCACCCTTCAGTTGAAGGATAGGTATTTGTAGTTACAAAAGTTATTAGTTTTATACTATCCTTTTCAAGCCAAAGGCTGGATAAAATCTTGGGGGTTATCATTAAATTATGATGGAACAAACAACAATATAGTACTATACATTTCTGCTATTTTTATGTACCCTTCTACTTGTGAAACGGTGTACAAATAAAGAGTTTTTTATTTGAGTAGTAGTTTCCTTATACATTTTAGGGTAGTAGAGTAGTTTATTTATACATTTTAGGTCTTATAATCTGAACAGATTTTATTTATTTCCGTTCAGCCGTTCTGAAGTGATCTAGTCACAAACATCCAACCAGCAATCCATTCAAAGTTTCACATTTATAATTAGTATAGACTCATCTAAAAACAGACAGACATATACACACATATATACGTCAAACTTATAACACCCCTTCGTTATTGCGCCGTCGTATATTTTTATGGGGCAAACGTGCAGTCGGGTCACCTGATGGTAAGTGACTACCGCTGTCCATGGACACCTACGACTCCAGAGTCACAAGTGCGTTGTAGCCCTTTGAATCGCTCCAAATTCAGAGGGGCAAGGTTGGGGGGGAGAGGGTATTTGGACTCCAGTAACCTCACTCGCTCGTTGGATAGCAAAAAATGAACTTCTGTGAGGCCGTTTTATCACTCCGACCGAATCTTCCTATTTGGGCAGAAGCATAGTTCTCACACGGTAGCAAAACTATAGATAACTCACTTTTATTAAATAATGTAATGTTTTAGTAGTTTACCCTTATCTTAAATAGTATAAATAAGAGTTTTTGATGCGATACGATGGCAAGAGTCAAATCCGGTTTAAATGTTTTACATTTTTGTAATTTCTTTCGGAAGGTATATCAAAGTACTTTATAGCATCCTTTATTATTATATAATTATGTAAGAGGAAGCTGCGATGAGAGGTCAAATAAAATGTAAGTTTTTCTCACGAGTAGCTTTCGAACAAGTTATGGAAAAGTTTTTAGTTGGGACATTTCGAATCGAACGTGTTTCGGCAATGTGTCTGTTCCAGGTAAGCTCAGTTTCTAAGTTTAAAGGGTTTCATACTCACATGTTACAAAGCTTATACCACGAGTAATTTACCTAAACATCGGTCTTGGTATTCGAACTATCAATGATGATCACTACTGTGGTCTATACTGGAGATCGCTTGACGGTCGAATTTCAATTTTCTTGAACAGTATTATTTCATTGACCAGTACTCGTATAAGTGAACTATCATTGTATAGACTTACAATACCAGGTCCACAAAATATATATAAGTATATTGGAGCTCTATAAGTTTATTCTGTTTCTTTCTCTATAGTCCACTGCTGGACATAAGCCTCTCCTTAGAAAGGAGGTTTAGGCCTACTACAAACGCTCGCCAAACGGGTTGGAATAGGGTTTGTGTCAAGTGTTCCTTCTCCTTTCATTGCTGTTGTCCTTCGTAGTTTGCTCCCTTAGTCAGCTGAATACGGGTGGTGACACTTGGCACCAGGGACTTCCTTTCTAGGGTATACCTGGTTCCCCGGCTATTAGTACCCGATTGCCGCGCGGAAAAAAAAAGAGGGGTGGTGACACTACGTATTCTTAATCCGTCACTACACGGACGCTATGTTATTTCTATATAATTAATAATGTTTGTACTTTATTAGGTATTGCAACGCTTGTTACAGCCGGGCGGGTACAGTTAGTTTCTATATAAATCTATGTAACAGTTCCAACTAGCATGATTGTGAGACATTTAAAGTCTAGGAACAAGCACATTGCCCAGTAAACAGTAACCGATACATTGTATAATATTACTATCTTATTAATACAGACTGAGACATTTAAGTTTTTAAGCAACACATATATCAAGATACCTAATTGCAACTTAAGAACATCAATTTACACACTAATAATAATAAAATATAATAATATCGTTTATTTTCTCACCAAAACCAAAATACATACAATGAAAATACGATTACGCTATAACATTTGACAATTTCGGTAGTGGATAGCTGGTGCCTGAGGTAGTTATAAAAACCTGTGTTAGAGGACACCAGGTCCCCACTCGGACACTAACTTATTGTTTGTTAGATGAATTAGCTATGATGCTATGACAATTCTGGGGTTCTAACAATACAAAAACAGTGTGATATGACATAGATTTGAGATCGTTTCAAGGCTTCACGAAACTCCTTTCTTTCTCGTAGGAAAGCTTCTTTTGGAAAGCTCATGAAAAACTTAACTTTTTTATCCATGGTGCACGTTATTTCAAAATACACCTCTGGCCGTATCTATGTTACAGTATTTGGAATGTGACAAACATTTTACACGTTAACATTTCACGCTCCGACGTTTATCTCGCACATGTACCTAAATGTGTGCAAACAGTATATCATATTCAAACACTTACACAATATTTGTGCTCGTTCGTTTTCGTAACAAAAGTCAATGTCATTTATTTATATGATATCGTTGTTGATTAGTAGGTACTACCAGAAGTACCAGATGTGGGGACCTCTGGTGGCAGATTGATTGCTGCGGTAGGGTCGATAGATTGCCAGCCTGATTGCATTAAGATGCAATCGGGCCGCCATGCCGCAATTGAGGGGGAAGTGTTCCTCCGTGAGATAGGGCCTGATTAGGCATGGTGTCAATTCGGGGAGGACCTGAAGTAACATGGTCCCGGTCCTTCCAGAGTAGGACATCTGAGACCCGCCGTCGTGGTGGTTTTTATTGGAATCACCATATACTCCTGGCCCCTAATTCCCCGCGGAACAAGAGATCAGAAGGGATTTGCCATTAACATTATTTAAAGTAATCCGTATGAAATAATGATAAATATAAAAACAAACCGTATTGACGCACCTACATCGGAATACAATGATTTTTAAGGTTCCTCTTTAAAACTCCGAGTCCGATCTAATATCCGAGTTTTCGAAAAGTACCACGCGTATGTAGTATAGATTATTTTTGTATTTTTGAATCGCGTTTCTGAGGTCATAGTTGTATGTAGGTAAGGATACACAAATATGTCGAATTAAAAAAAGGCCCTTAGTAAAAACCCACACTGATTAATTTTATCGATATTGACGGGTTTTTCTTACTGCCAAATGACTTACGAACATAGTCACAGTACAAAGTTCACTCTGACTCATATCAATTATAATATAATTGTTATCAGGGAGTTTTACAAATGATAGTACCTATTCCGTGGAGGTCGAATAAAACGGCTCGTTGGCAAAATGACCCATAAACGCATAACCTAACCATGCACTTTTAGATCATGAGTAGCAGGCTTATCTATGTAAGACAATTGTCATTAATGATAACCTTAAACTGTTCCATTTAACTGTTGGACAGTTAACATGTCACACAATCATAGCTCGCTCTAATCTTTTGGTCCCTGTGTGCGGTATTATACCAAACAAGTAACACCTATAAATCTCGCTTACTTAAAGCAGTGATAGATGAAGATGCCCCAGAGTGGACCTTACGAGATCCCGGCTCAATGTAGTATGAATCATCTTTAAGTATGAGGAAAATGGGTTGAGAGTCCCGTCATAAATCCGGGATTATATCTTCTGCCACGCAGAAGTTTTCCAAGCAATCTTCCTAACAGAAAATAGGAATTATGAGTACCCTTGGCCTTAGCTTTGGAATAGATGATAGTACT